AATCTATCAATCAATCTATCAATCAATCAATCTATCTATCTAAAATCATGTCCACCTTTAGAAGAAAAATGAAGGCTTCTGAAATCCCGTTCCTCAAAGTGATTCCTATTTCCCACCACAGGGAGAGAACTCCGGTGGAATCCAGAGCCTTGCCTGCTTCCTAAATCATCTGACACGCGAAGCAAATTGGGAATGAATTTGCACAACCCTTTTCATCCCTCTGGAACCAGGGGTTGTGCCCACTAGCTGCCCGCAGACCTGGCAGCAGACTCGGATGATGAGGAGGTTGGGCGGGGGGGGGGGCCTTGGGCCAGTTCTGGAGTCTGGGGAAGGCTCCGATGGATGCTCAGCATCGGATGCAGAGATAGCGCCAGGGCCGTCCGACATTTCCCGGCCACCGGAGAGGCAGATGCCTTTGGAGGCTGCTTTGAGTGAGGAGGAGGAACAACAACAGCTGGGGCCTTTTCCAGATGCACGTATGCATGCGCAGAGCTGTTAGGAGAGGTGAGCAATGGAGGACAAGGAGTCGACTCAGGAAGTAAAGCAAATGTGGATGCTGAATGGCCCCTCCATGGCTGGATAGAAGGAATAGAAGGAAAGGGGAGTGGTGGTCGTAGGAGACAACAGTTCGTATTTCTGAAGATTTTGCTCATTATGTTTCGTGCATCAAAGTCTGCTTGCCAGAACTTAATTTGCAGCCTTTCGGCCTTGCAATTATCGCAAGCAACTGATAAGGTCTGTACTGCAGTTAACTCCTTAAGGACTCTTGTCTGGACTTTTCAGTGGGTAAAGGCCATTAATTCACAAGAAGGAAATATAAGAGGGGTTTTTCGTGGCAAGGAGCCTGTTTCTTGCTTGCTGCTAAGGCTGGGCCAGAACACCCAGGTAAGAAAAAAAAATCATCCAGACCAGGGATGGGGAACGATGGCCCTTTGACGACTTGTGGACTTCAACTCCCAGAATTCCTCAGCCAGCAGAGATGGCGAACGTTGGCCCTTTTAAGAATTGTGGACTTCAGCACCCAGAACATCATGCCGGCTCAGAAATTCTGGGAGTTGAAGTCAACGCGTCATAAAAGGATCGTGGTTTCCCCACCACTAACCCAGACCAACAGTTTCACAATTAATTCCAAGGTCAACTCTTTTGAGAAGATTGACAGTTGATTCCAAGTTTTTCTTTGAGTGCCCTACAACTCCTGCGCCCGGCTCGCCACGGGATGGCTTACCTCCCCCACTCTGTTTGCCAGGGCGATGAGATCCCTCTTAGGAGACCAGGCCATAAAAATAACTTCTTGAGGAAGCTGCTTCTCTCCAACTTGCCTGAAAGCCGGCATGGTGGTGGCATCAGTACCTGGAAACCAAAATATAATAAACCATGATGAGAGTTAGCTCAGAATCTGTCCACTCTGGACAGTGACTGATTGATATATTTCTTTTTTGTCTTTTAATGACCCCGTAATCCGTTCCAATGAGGTGGACTCTGGGCAACTGAATGGAGCTGTGTGTTTACTGGCCGGATGCCCTTCCCTGCCGCCAGCGCGGAGTTTTGTTCAGCAGAGATATTCTCCTTTCTAAAGATTTTTTCCCCCCGATTACAAAGATAAACATCCCATCTTTCCTTATGCCGTGTGTGTCGTCTGGGCACAAACATCTCTGTGCAACATCATTCCTCATTTGCTACATTTTCCGCATTCATATTAACATTATTTCCCTAAACTTCATATTAAAATAGATGGAGAGAGAGAGATGATAAGACGCACACAGGCACACAGACATACATACATACATACATACATACATACATACATACATACATACAGAGAGAGAGAGAGAGAGGGGGAGAGAGGATAAAGATTATAGAGACCAATAGAAATAGAGAGATGGTAGAGATGGAGACACATAGAGAGACAGAGACACACAGAGAGACAGAGAAAGACAGAAAGAGACAGAAAGAAAAAAAGAAAGAAAAAGAGACAGAAATAAATGAAGACAAAGAAAGAAAAAGAAAGAGAGAGAAAGAAAGAGAGAGAGACATACAGAAAGAAAGAAAGAAAAAGAGACAGAGAGAGAAAGAAAGAAAGAAAGAAAGAAAGAAAGAAAGAAAGAAAGAAAGAAAGAAAGAAAAAGATATGATGGGAGATGGATGGATGAAATGTGTATATATATAAGAGGGTAAAGACTATAGAGACAGATAGAAATAGACAGATGATAGAGATGGAGACACAGAGAGACAGACACACAGAGAGACAGACACAGACAGACAGAACAAGACAGAAAAAGAGAAAGAAAGAAAAAGAGACAGATGGGAGATGGATGGATGAAATGTGTATATATATAAGAGGGTAAAGACTATAGAGACAGATAGAAATAGAC